GCCCAGCATGGACAACGTTATTCCGGTTTGGGATTTCAAAACAAGTTTGTCTTTACGGCTTACGATCAAAGCAGAACGGAAAATCAAATATCAAAACGAAAAGAAATACCAAGTAAAGGTTTTTTAAGGAATTAAATTGACCTTCAAAAATAGGTTTTATTTTTTTTTTCTTTATTTGGCGTGAAATCAGAATGCAATGAAAGAAAAAAAAAATTACTTTTGAAGGTGAGCTTTGAGATCAGGATAATTTTCCATTCATTCAGACCTTCAAAATGTCCTTCGAAAGTAAAGTTTTTGTTTTTTTTTTTGTTTTCTGTTTACCTAAAAACAGATTGTGATAAACTATAAAATTATAAAATATGCCAGGCAATTTATTCCATAAAGTGTGCGTCTGTAAAACTGCATACCTAAATTTTTTCTAAAGGAAAAAATAAAATAATTGAAATTTTAGTGATTTTTTTTTAAACTTTAAATTTTGCAATTTTTTTCCTTTCAAAAGCTTTAAAATACTTTTACATTTATTTACTCCTCTATATCTCCTCGTTGTTGAGAGATTTGATTTTGTCCTTTTTTCCAAAATAGCTGACAGTGCCTTCCGGTCTCTATGAGCACATGAAAATCAGGTAGTGTTTTCATCTGCCAAACGACTGTACGTGCCACAGTGTTGCCAAACTGGAATTTACTGTTAAAAATAGTCTAGATCGTTTATTTTGCAACCGACTTGATATGTTTTTTCTTTTAATAAAGGTAATGCAAATTTAGAAGAGTTTTTTCGAGACTGATTTATGAATTTTTATTTGTTTATATTAAATTTTTAGAGCAAAGAGCAGAGAAAGTAAATATTTTGAAGCAAATCGATTCCTCTTTTCCTGTAAACTAGTAAAAACTGGTTGAATACAATGATAGCGTTCCCCCTAAACGAAAAGAGTTGTAAATGTGCAACAAAAATTTCACACTCTTTTTCAGAATTTAAAATTATGCCAAGCAATTTTTTTGCGGCTGCAAAACTGCGTACCTAAAACTTTTCTAAAAAATAAAGAGAATAATGATTGAAATAATTGAAATTGTAGTGATTTTTTTATTTATTTAAATTTGAAATTTTGATACATTTTTCTTTTTCGTTTTTGGAGAAATCAATAATTAATTGTTTTCAACAGTTTTTTTTGTAACATTTATTTAGAGAAACAGGAGGTCGATTTTCTTCAAAATCAGCCTTATCATGAGTTTCATTTTCACCGAACCGGTTCACTTTTCACTCTTTCGGGGGAATTTTTTTGAGGGGTGAACTCAGGATAAGGCTGAATATAAACATATGTATATAAATTGAAATATCAAGTTTTACCAATCTCCATTACATTTTATTTCCCTTTATACGAAGATTTCTCGTGACAGTAGAATAGCGAGAAGACAAAAATTACTCGGGGAGTAATCATTCACAACAGGAGGACAGAGAGTAGAGAAAAGTTTCACCAAGAGATTGAAAAAAGCGTGGACTGAATACATATAACATGGCAGCTCGAAAAATGTTACGGAAACTAATTTGCTTACCTGAAAAAACCGCTAAGCGTTGTAATAAATTATTGAGTATACATTTACATAAATTTCTAAATATTTTGTACTCGATTCGGTAAAGGTTCGTAATACCACTCCAACGCGGTAGCCCAGACACAAATTTGTAGGTACTTCCTTGTCAAGAAGAACAGCGAAAATTGGTTATACTCAGCCAAATAAAAAGAAAAAAAAAAATTGAAACGGCTTAATATAGCATGGCACTTCGAAAAATGTAGCCAAATTTATAGAAAAATGTGAAAAGTTATGCATTTTTGGATTTCTATGTTGTAATATTTAAAATAATTTTTATAGTAAATTCTATTGTAAATCAATCGTTTTTATTTATTGTATATTTTTGTTTATCGATTTGTTTATCTAAAACTGAATTCAAACGTTTTTTTTTTTTACCGAAAGCTAACACATCGCCCCACTGTAGCTCATAATACCGTCCAATCCATGAAGCGAAGAGTTAAATCCGAAATAATAATCCCTCACGAAATTAAATCCCGCGCCCACATGAAAAATCGCAAACAACAGAAACAACAGCGCCACACAGCACAGCGCTGCGATTGCCGCGCAGTCACTCAGTCAGTTATTTAGTCATTCTGTTGGCCTACCAGACCAGACGCAAAAACTCATCGTCAGTTGGTCGCCTGGCCGATGGATGATGGCAAGTTGCCACTGTAGCAGGCTGAGTTGGCTAAGCGTTGGTAGTACATAGAGTGTGTCGCTCGCTCCCACTCGACCGTTGTTGTTGTTGTTGTTGTTGCGTTATTTCAGCTACAATCCAACCTGACAGACGCGCTGCAAAGTAGCAACGTCGGCGTCTGCAATGCTATGTGCAGCGCTGCCGGTTTAAGGATTAACGCAGACATAAAACGGCTCACGCACACACACCCACACACATACATTCTTATGCCAATACAAAGTTAGTGTGCGTGTTTGTGCATGGCAGCAGTAGATATGGAGTGCAGCAGGAACTCAACTGAGCTGAGTTGAATTAAGTTAAGTTGCCCACCCGCCCGGCGGTGAGTTGGCTATAATGCCCAGTGCAGAAAATCGTTGGGATTAATGTGAAATCTGGCTTATTTCGAAAATATGCTGTCGCTCAGTTGTCGTCACGTAAAGCCGCTGGCCGCTGGCCGCTCAGCAGCTCAGCCGAAATACCACCACACTACTGATCAGTGGCTACAATTGCAAAGTGAATACAAAAAAAAAAAAAATGGAATAAGCAGCAACTTGCTAGGCGTGTGTTGGGACGTAGGAGGCCGGTTAAGCCAAAAATAGGGAAGGCAAAACTTTTCGACTGTGGGTGTCCGTACACATACATACATACATACCGTGTATATGGTTCGCAGCACACAATCGATGCGGGATTACGTTTTTGCCGAGCGAAGGTGGTGGTGATGGCGGCGGCGGCGACATGGATTCAAAGTGGCAGCGAAGGTGGCGAGGTAGACTGAAAGCGCATGGTGAAATGCAAAAAGCATAGAATGAACAGAAAACAGCTGCGGGCGTTATCACAAATCCGCGCGCGTACAGTTGGTAAAAGGCTCACGCGCAAATGTATGCGTACGAATGTGTGCATGTGTGTGTTAGCGTATTTGTGGACTTGTGTTGGGGTGGCTGTAAGATAAAAGTCTGGGTGAAACAGACAAACGCCAGATTTCTGACATGCTCAAGCATCAAGGGCGGCAAAACGATGGGGGCAGGCGATTGATAACGGGCAGCGTAGATACAGGATTACGCCGTCTATTTTTGAATATTAACCGGCATATGTACATACATATGTATGTACGTGCATTAGGTATATGACTTTTTAATTAAGAGGTTGGCTTCAAAATTTCTATATATACCTATGTACATTAGGGTGGACCAAAAATACAAGGGGGAGTGCGGAAGTTTACGCTCTCACCCCCAAGGATTTTTCTTTTTATTGTTAAAAGAAAATATATTGGTATTTTTTTGTAGAAATAGTATTAAATAAACATTTTTATTTTTCGACCTATTTCTCTTTTTTCTCGTTTTTAATATTTTTGTACCAATTTTTGATAAAAACGCTATTTTTGTTGGATGTTCAGCATTCCTTTCAAACTCCTCATAGATATCTTTAATTAAAAAAATGTCATATGCCTAATATGTATATGTACATACATATTTATGTATACACCAATGTACACATTTAGACACGGCTTTACTAAAGCCACCATCAAACAAAGGGAATCCCACATGCGCTTTGGGGCTGCACAGAGCAGTTCGGCCGGAACTGCATTAGATTAAGCATCCACCTTTTTGGTGAGATTCCCTTTACAACTTTGTTTGCTTTGGCGTTTTCTCTTACTCTATGTCTCTCTCTCTATCCCTTGCTTTCAGTTCTCAGTCCACAACATTCATGTACGTTGCCAGTTTGGGTTGGACTGCCTTTCAAATTAATGCGCCAGGATAATCCGTCGATCAATAAAATGTTGTAGACGAGAGTACGCATTCAATGTTTTGCCACAGGCAGACTGGGATAATTGAGAAGGTCGTGAAAGGATGTATGTATACACATTGTGGGTAGTATCTTGGATTGGGTAATGATGTTACTCGGTGTAACGAAATTCACACACATACATATGTATGTACGTACGTAAATATGTATATAAGTATATTGGCTTCAAACGGTTTTTAAGGCGATTAAGTTTTCGTAATTTAGAAAATTTCAATATACTACAGATGTATGTATGCATGTAAGTATGAGAATTTTGTGTGTGGTTGTTTAAGTTTTTTTTTTCAGTAAATGCCGTTTCGGTTGTATCCATTTATTATAATTAATGAATTTTATTGCGCTAATTTCTTTGACGTATTTAAAATTTTTAATCCGCTCTTTTCTTAGTATCCGCTTTAGTTCAGACTAGGGTAATTGACTCGGTTTTTTTCCAAACCGGTTTTTTCTGATACCTATAGGCGGTTTTTTGAAATCTGGATTTTTCGAATATCGAATAAACCGTATTTTCTATGGAATAAACCTTACATTTTCATTTCATACAATAAAATTTTTGAGTTTGGCAGTAGGCACATTTAAGCATTCGGCTACGGCGGCAAGATCAAAAAAAAAGTTAAAATAAGACCAAACGTAAAGTTTTC